GGGAACTAACCAAACTGGGAATCTGAAATTTTGCCGATGTGACCTAAAGATTTTATGCTTATCTTTGAAGTGCGTTAGTGAAAGCATAAGTGAAAATTCGAGTTGGGCCATTGTTAGCGGTTCTTTAACTCGAGAATCATCTCCAGCACAACCCCAATGGCTCATCCAGCAGCTCTCTTCCGCGTTTGGGCAGTGAAAAATTGAAAAGTCTTAATTTTACATTATAATATTAACTTTTCAAAACCCATTCTGTTCTCCAGTAGTCGTTCTATTGGCAAGTCAGTTGTGGCACTGGTAAGAAATGTATACGACTTGAACTGAAATATTCCTTTCAGCTTCCAAAATTTTACAGTCCTTTTTTCCACTACTTTATCTGCTCTTTCTCCCCGCTTTTTTCCAAACTTAATTGTTCTAAAAATTCTGTTATGTGCAAACAGTCTTATTGCCTTGCAAAAGAGCATAGTCACACTGGCATCTTTATTATCACATCTGTAACCTTGATGCATGTCACAGTGTATTTTTGTTTGTTCCAGTTTCCATGTAATCGGATGATTTAAATTTTTAGAGGACGTTTCATCATCGAATATGTTGGTGAAGTTATTGACTCCGATGAAATGAAACGTCGCAAAAAAAAGTAAGTTTTGCATTACGATTCATAAAGAACACTTGCAATTAAACTATAGATTTATCACTGTAGGAATGTATAACTGCGCTTTTGGAACACCTGTGTTAGGTCCTCAAGTGGTCTTTGACTGTAGCAGCGGAAGACAGCGAAAAGTGCCAGCACTTTATTCTCCAATAAAAGCTTCACTTCAAATAAAACGACGAGCCGGGCCGCCGCACATATTCAGCAGAAGGGGGACGCTAGCCATGTCAAGGCGGCCAGTTAGTAACTTTAGTTGGGGCAGGACGTAACAGACCAGTGACGCACATTGATTCCGAGACTTAGGACCAGAGTTTTCGAAAGGGGTTTATATAGGGAAAATTAATGGAGCGCAAAAGTGGGCAAGGTGGTTAGTAGGTGAGAGGGCAAGTAATATAGAATTATTTAGGATTCGGTGGAATTATTGCGCATTCAACTTCTCATGCTTGCTGCAAGTCAATCTGTGTAGGTTAAGTAGATCTGATAGTTGTGGTGCTTGTCAAATCGATAGCATGTAGAGAAATTCACTGGTGGAATTTGGCGTTGTATTCGGGCTTCGGCTCGGTGTTCAAAGTTTATTTTAGGGATGTGTAAAAATAGTTAAGGCAGTTATTTCTGTAATATTTTTGGGAATAAAATGATGCGATGTGTGCAAGGTCTTCTCTTTTCTTGGTAGAATTTAGATTTGTAGAATTTAGTCTGTAGTAGAATTTGGATTTGCTTTTGATCGAAAATTTTCAGTTGCCTACCTCCTTTGTTTGATGCGCTTGCATGAGTGGAATTTTTCAGCTAAGTATCCATCTAATTTTCTTAAAAAATTCTTTTGCGAAAAATCGGCGCAAGCTGGTATATACACCGCGGAATGTTAGATAATGCCGAAGCATGGCAGGTTGGCAAAGGAAAATCCTTGTTTAGATGAGAAATTAAGATTTTTTACACTTTTAGTAATGTCTCTTCATTCTTTTCCGTGTTTTCGCGAATTCCAGTACTTCTTGGCTGTTGGCAGGAAGTCATAATCTTGCGGTGCTTATCGCACAGTTGTATGTCACTTAGTTGCGGGGCTCCCTACAGATATTCCAAGGTTTACCTAGTATCCCGACAATGCATTTACAGGACTTATGTTGCCTTTTTTACCTTTTTTATCGTAGACCTTATGATCTTTCCACTAAAATTTACATGGCTATTTGTTATAGTATGTTTTTTTTACCACGTCACCCAAGATTTTGTTAAAAGTCAACGGCGGCGGCACTCGAAAGTGTTTTAAGTGTGCCAGCAGCAAAGAGGCACTGGCAGTACTGTAGATGACTCCCTTTTTCGAGAGTTGCTTGAAAAGAAGTTGGCAGCAGCACTCCAAATATACTATTAGGTTGTTCGGAAAGTAATGTCCGTCTTCGACCAAAATTTTTAAAGTGGTATATCTCAGCAATGAATAAAGTTTATTGATTGAAATAACAGCCATTAGAATCAACACATTTTTGCCAATACTCTTCAAGATTGTTTATTCCGATTGCATAAAAATCTGGACTTCTGGAGGCAATGAAGTCATCGAAGGCAGCTTCGGCACTGACTTGGTTTCTGGAAGCATTTCCCGCACAGAAAGTTGTCGCGATGCTTGAAGAAGTGGAAGTCGGTAGGAGAAAGGTCTGGCGAGTATGGTGGATGAGGCAGAATTTCGTAGCCCAGCTCGTTTAACCGCTGCACCGTCCCAACTGCGACGTGTGGTCGCGCGTTGTCATGCAGCAGGATTGGTCCCTTTCTGTTGACCAATGCAAGGCGCAGCCGTTGAAGTTTTTGGTGCATTTCATTTATTTTCTGAACGTACGTCTGCGCCGTAATCGTTTCATCCGGATTCAGGAAGCTGTGATGGATTAAACCAGCAGCAGACCACCAGATTGTCAACATGACCTTCTTTTAATGAAGTTCCGGCTTTGGGAAGTGCTGCGGGGCTTCATCGCGGTCCAACCACTGAGCGGACCGTCGCCGATTATCATACAGGACCCATTTCTCGTCACACGTCACAATACGGTCGAGAAACGGGTCGTTCTGATTGCGCAGAATAAGAGTCGGCGACACCTCAAAACGACACTTTCTCTGGTCATCATTCAATTCGTGCTTCACCCATTTGTCGAACTTCTTCGTCTTCCCAATCTTCTTTAGATGCTCCGAAACAGTTGAAATACTTGCCCCGAATGCTCTTGCAAGCTCTCGGACAGTTGTTTGCGTATTTGCCTCTACCACCGCCTTCAATTCACCGTCATCAACAGCAGAAGGGCGTCCGCAACGTTTATCATCTTCAAGGTCGAATTCACCACGTTGAAATTTTTCAAACCAACGTCGCACTGTGCGTTCGTTAACACTTTCGTGGCCCCATACCAAATTAATATTTCGAGTTTTTTCCCCTGCACTACGGCCAAGTTTGACTCCGTAAAAGTAAATTTGTCAAAATTGCTGTTTTGACATCTGAAATTGCAACCTTTGAAACTTGTCAAAAACACAATTCTTATTACAATCCAATTACGCGACGCGAAAGTACGTGAAATGAGCTTTTCAAAAACATACAACACGACGGCAATCGAAAAGATACTCTTCTTGGAAAATCATGCAAAGAAAAATACATTTCAAAACGGACATTACTTTCCGAACAACCTAATAATTAAAGTTGATGGTTTTTTCACATGTTATTTTTGTTAAATACGAGACAAGTGAGCATTTTAGGTACGGCAAGGACCCGAAACATGTTCATCATTATTTGATGGCGCTGAAAAATGGTGCTGTAATTGATGCCACGCTGCGCGGAAATGTTTCACGTTTCATTAATCACTCTTGTGATCCGAATTGCGAGAGTCAAAAGGTACATATGTGGCCCAATGTTCTTGCTTTGCATGCAGTATCGTTCGTAAGGATATGCCTCTCAGTTTTCACTACCTTCTTGCCTGTCCTCTTCCACGTGTCGCAACTTTTTGACCTTGTCGCGTAATAATGCTGCAAGTTTTTGGCTTAATTTTCGCACAACTGTAGCGCAAATGTGCTACCCCTCTCACCTTATGGAATTCAGAGTCTTAGTTTTATTGTTTTTTTTTTAGAAAAAATTTTGTTTTTCATTTCCTCGCCTACTACTAGTTTACATTTAGACAAGTAAATTACAATTGCTGATTCCCACGTTGCATGCTATTTTACGAAAAGACTATGAATATATCAAAAACACGCAGTGGCCAAGATAACCGTAATTTACTGCGTAAAATAACCCTTCCGCTTTCGTTTTCGCATTAGCAAATATTATTTGCAAAATACATTATCCTTAGTGAACAAAATGATAATACGTCACTTAATTTTTTCCTTTTTTTACTTTGAAATTGTTTTTTGGTGGCATCCCTTGTGACATCAGTGGAACTAACAACTCCATTCGTTTTGCGCTTAGTGCATCCTTCTTATTCTGGACAGAGATCTGGAGCGT